TTCCAATTGGTTTCCGCCTCTCGCCTATAAAAGTCCACTTAAACAACTAGAATATATTACAATAGCTAAACGTCATGTTGTCGCATAAGCAAGGTATTACATATGCACCATCTCGTAATACCAGCACGGAATTCACGTTCATATTGACCAACTGCCACTACTATAAGGGTAACTTAAGCATCTACAGCTTTTATTTTTGGCATTAAGTGGATCCCATATTAAGAAATTAATTTTTTACCCTTATTCTAAAGCATACTTAGATCCATACCTACCTTCGACTTACTTACAAGTTGCAGGCCCGATTTGGGAGAAATGCCTCCTTGCCAAGGAAACTTTTAAACTGGGAAAATAACCGGTGTAATATACTGCAGAGTGTGTTTACTACTTATTCCGCCTTCTAAGCTTACTTTAAAAATGGCTGAGTTATGCGTAACCCATGACTATTGTCTTAAAGACAGCAATCGTCTTTTACACATTTTGTCTCATTCTTTAATTTTAACTTTTTAACTTTTTCCTTTAACTTTAGGTCTTGTTTTAGCAATCTTCATACTTTAATAAATTTAGCTATGGTTAACCCTGGTATCGCGTCCTTTCAAAGCAGTTGCTCTCTTTTTGTCAATGGTTCTGTCCGTTGTGTGCGGCTTTGTAAAACAGTTTTTATTTTATGCTTCTATTGTTTTTCCAGTCTTATTAATGACGACATTTAATAATATTGTTTCGGCAAGATTAGGCTTGTTCTAGTTAATTGTGTATTTTGTCTTGTTGATCCTATTCAATTCATATGGATGCGTTGAACTTCACTCTTCTGTATGTGTTATAGGGTCTGCTACGTTTCCTTCGACACTTTAGTTCAATTAGATCGTTTCGTGGAATCTCGCACTTAATCTCTCCTGCTATTTTATTTTCCACATTCTGCGAAACAATGCCTGCTCAAACATCTCCGCCACATCCATCCCTGCTCCCCCCTGTTCTTTCGATCGCCCAACTTCAACTTGATTCTACTAGCTCTCTCCTCTCCCAACTTTTGCTTGATCTGGAACATCACGTTGCCACTTTGGTGCATCTGGAGTCACGTCAGCACCAGCTTCTGCAGCTTTATTCTTCGCAGCCGAATAATCCTGCTCTCGATGACGAGATGACGAAGCTTCGTAATGAGTGGGGTGGATGCATTGCTCGGTGTGTCGATCTGGAATATTGCGTAGATACTGCCATAACAACTCTAAAGCACTCTCTTGATCTCACCGTCCTTCTAACTCCTCTATTTTCGTCTTCTGAGGAACTTTCTTCGTGTGATCGAAGTGGTGCTATGCTGCTACTTTTCGAAAAGACTTTTGAAAACCTCAAACAGCAGCGTGCTCGCGTAGTTGATTCCTGGAGTCACCATCTCTCCGAACACATTCGTTCTTTGTCCACTGAATAAAAGAAATTTTACTCTTTCTCCTTTTGTTATCATCTCCTCATGACAGACTGACTGCTTCCTCCTTTTTACTCCCCTAGAAATGGAGGAAATCGAAACAGCTGTGAGTGAAGCACTTCGATTACGCGATACTTGGCTGCTTGAAAACACGACTCTTTCTTTTGAGAACCTTCGCGAAGATCCAGAGCAAGTGTTTACTCCCGGAAATGATCTCACCTCCCTTGTTCGAGAAGTGGTGCGGGCATCGGAGGAAAAAGCCGAGAAAATGGCCTCTCGGGTGTCTCACATCCTCAGTCTCGTTGCTAAGTATCTGAATAGCCACAATCTTTCTACTTCCCAAAAGGCTCAAGCTCTCCTTTTGAAGGGAAAGGTCCTCAATTTGACCCTCCCATTCATTAAAGATACTGGAGAAGTGAAATCCACCCTTGAAAAGGTTATTAAACTGGAATCTGGTCTGCCTGATGCTTGGTGTGAACTAGCAGAGTACGAATGGATGATTAATGGACCTGAAAGTGCCCTTCCACCACTTCAAACGGCTTTCAAACTAGACGTAGGCTTTTAAAATGATGATCATGATTTCTAGAAACACAACTCGGAGGTCCTTTGGCGCCTTTCCATGCTACTGCGTCAGCTGCCGAAAGAAAGCTTTGTGCGGCAAAATTTCGTAACCTCTGCAGAATTCCTGGAATTTTCAGAAGGCTGTGATCGTGATGGGGTCGCAGTATCGTTGCGTTTTGCTCATGCTGCTGTGCGAGAGCAGCCAAACTCCGGTCGGGCTTGGGAGTGCTTTGGAAACGCTCTGTTCACGGCATCCTTGGTGGATGCGGAGGGTGAAGGGTTTCTCAACCGTTCTCTTGTGGCATTTTCCCAGGCAGCAAAATACCCAGAAATTATCGGGCAGCCACATTTTCACTTTAATCGAGCTGCAGCGATGCACTATGCGGTGAGTGTGGATGTTTCCTCTTTCCAAACCTTATCTGCAACTGGAGAATCTCGGAGTTATTGTGCGAACGAATTATCTGAGACATAACAGATTGACCACAC